AAGAAGAGAACAGATCCTTGCGATTATTCTAACATTGTTAAAAATGCTTTTTTATAGAGGCTTGCCATCGGTACGATTTAGCCGACTCGTCGTTTTAATCGTACCACTAAGTCTTTAAATCGTACCATGGGTGTTTAAGTCATACCACTGAATAAAAGACATTAAAATTCTCAATCAAATTATTTATTTTTGACTGTTAGGGAAGTAATAAAACAACATTATTTACATCTTTTAGGTAATAGAAACATAATTTTTCACTCTTAGGTTATATAAAGGAACTATAAGCTTTCTCAGTAAAATAACATGATTATACTATGATAATGAGGTCAATCAACATAACTAATAAAAATGAGACAAATAAAAAAAACAGTAAACTATAATAATAAAGTAATAGTTAACAAGAATGTTATTTGTAATATAATTATTGTGCATATTTCTTAATGGAAACAATCATGACAAATGTTTTCAAAAATTCGAAGGACACGTCTCATGTAGCCACCGTTTACAGCGAACGCATTGAATCGAATCAACTTTTGGACCCTTCTTATCGTAGTAAGAACAATTGCACTTTCGACATATATTTTCAAGATAATCATCGCTGTCATCATCATCATCTAGTTCTACAACAAGTATCTCTCCTGAATCATCGCTACTGGTGATGGAATGAGATCGTTTCCTCTTATAACTTTTGTTTTTGGCCTTGGGTAGTACTTACTATACGTACTTGCGGTAGTACTATAGGTACTTGCGGTTGGTAGTCGGGTAAATCGTACCAGTACAATTTAACCAACTGCAAAACTGGTACGATTAAACCAACTAAGGCATTTCTAAAACAAAAGCAAATATCCGGCATAAACTCAAAACTTAAACACGCAACAAAAACCCCCAATAATCTAGTATACAATTGTGGAATAATAAAAAAAAACTGAATAACTATAGCTTACCTTGATTACGAGTTATCTCCTTACGAATGTACGACAATATTTATATTAATTCCTACAAAAAATGATTTTTTTTATTACGTGCACAGTTGTTAACTCACGTCGATGTAAACTAGTGGGTGAAGAGGGATGGTACAGGGCCACTATTTGGCGTTGTCAATGTAAAAAAAAAATTCATTAAATGGGAAATTAAGAGGTGGTACGATTTAAATGCTAGTACGATATAACCAACTCTCCCCTATATCATACATTCTGACATAATGTCAGATTTGTAGTTAGATAATACAATTCAATTTTTGAGTGAGGCAATTTTAACATATATATGTTAACTCAAATACCAATTTAAGTCTTAACAATCACCAATTGATATTATAAATGAACTATACATTTACTATTTAGAAAAGTTCCAGCAAAATTAGTTAGTTAGAAAACTTTTTTGTGTTCCTAAATTCATCTTGTACCTTTAACTCACAGTTTCAGAAACAAAACCCCATATCAACCAACATATATAATATAACTATAATAATATGTGTATGACCCCGCTAGATGGCGCTCGCTCCGCTTGGACATGTTGAAGCGCCTGTTAGTGACGGGTCACGTGCGCGCCGTGTGTCCCGGCGGGCCCGCGCTGAGGTCTCTGTCCGCGGAGCAACGAGCGGTTAGACCCTGGACGGATTACAAGCCTTACGCCATCTTCGTAGCGCTCATACACTTGTTGTATACTGTCATGTTTAAGGTAAGGACTTATATACAAGTCGTAATAGCCTAGTGGTTAAAGGTCCGCCTCTAGTGTATGAGGGCGCGGGTTCGAAACCTGGCAATTACCTATGTGATTTGTCTAAGTCATATGTACATTCTAAGAATATTTAGACATCACTGACAGACGGTAAAGGAAAATATCGTGAAGAAATCTGGACTTATAATTTTAAAATGTTATTTTGAAATCAGCAACCCGTCTTGAGCAAGCGTGGTGATTAATGATCAACCCTTCTCCATGTAAAAAGAGGCCTTTGCTCATCAGTTGGCTGTGATAGCCTGATGATGATAACTTACAAACAAAAATACTTTATTATGTCCCAAAGCGGACGGTCTACCATGTAAGTAGTTACCGTCGCCCATAGACATTTGAAACATAAGGAATATAGTAGATGCGTTGCTGACCTTGTTTGTGGAAAACAAAATATGTTTATATTTATTACATTTCGTAGCTTCTTTAGTGACATAGAAATTGTTTCATTATAATAAAATTATAACGGTGGCGGTATGTATAGTGGACAATTATATGTCTACTTTTATTACAAGAACTGAAAGTTGACAATTTAAAACATTTGGGATGGAGTTTTGTACGATAGATTATCTTTCATATACGATCAGCCCAGAATTTGAAACCTTTCGAAAAAGCCTCTGTCATCGATAATATACTTCAAAAATGCCCGAGTATCATACGTCTTTTATTGTTATTAAAGTATTGAAATATATTATATAAATATATTTTACTAGCTGACCCGGCAAACGTTGTTTTGCCATATAGAAAAATAGGGGTTGGTGATAAAAAAAAGTATAAACTTTGGGTTGTGTGTATTTTTTTAATGCTACATTTTATTAAATAAAAAAAAATAAGGGTGAACAACCCTTATGACTTAAGGGTATGAAAAATAAATGTTGGCCGATTCTCAGATCTACTCAATATGCTCACAAAATTTCATCGAAATTGGACGGGAGAATTTTATATATAAGATAAATTTAAGACTCACTCAAAAACCATATGTTAAAGTCATTGTAATATTTTTATGACCCGTTTATTTATAGCTACATATTTTGGTATTGTTTCGTTTCGTTAATGTTTACGATTTTCAAGATTATTGTAGCTTCGTTCTAATTTTATTAATTTTCTCTAATTTTTATTCTAATTAAATTTCCCTTCCTTTATTAGCTGGAAGCTTTTTTTACAAAAGATATCTTAAAAATTGCAGGGTAAACGTTTGTTTAACAGTGTATACTATATGTAACTAAGCAGGTGTGTCAATATATATTTCATAGTTGAATAATAATCTTATATTACAGAACGTGAACTCAACAACAGTAGAACAGTGGCCCATCAGGCTGGCGGAGTACATCCGACACAACGATGAGGCCAACGCCAAAGCGGCAGAGCGTATTGTGACGACCCTTACAGACGAACTACTGCCATGCGCCTCCTTCGCCGAATTCTGTGACGCGGCGGGCTTCTTAGACGAAATTCCCGACCCTGACGCCTTCCTCCGCGCACTCATAGACGAGCAGCCGTGATGGAAGCCCTACGCGCCCTCATGTATCAGCTACAACGGGTGCATCATATAATACACGCGATAGGCGCCGAAATTAACAAGTTCAAGTTACTATGGACTCGGATTGATTGTGTTTTTGATTCTATATTTAAATGTTTGTGCTTATCTCACTACACTCTGGCGCTTTAAATGTATCCCGCTTTAGCTTCAATAAATAGTTTTCACCTCTCATGAAGGGTTTTATTTTAAATGTGAGTCTTATATTATGCTGTCGTAATTTATGTATATATGAAAACTTTTGTCACGCAAAATGACAAACATGTCACGAATGCAAGAAAGCTCGTTTAAATAAAGATTTAATAAACGTTTTATCTATTGTGTGAGCCAAAACACCTCCCACTGTATGTATAATAAAAGGAAGAATCGTCCTTGACACCAGAACGAGATATTTTTAATAGGGTCTTTGTTGCGCAGGCGCAAGTGATATGTCACGGGCGATTACGAGGCGGGAGTCACGATTATTGCACAAGACGTCCCGCTAAGATTGTGAGGCGTCGTGATGAAAGATAATGAGATAGCTCGTGTCTGATATAATGAATTGGTTCTAGTTGATACAAAGGTGCCATTATTGTGTTAACATCCCGGCACAGCCCACGTGACGTTAACACGGTGTACATAGAGTTTAATGTGATGTTAAATGTACGTCTGTCATCAATCATTGCTCGGTAACACTTCATTTATAACAAGCAATTTGCGTTCACTAAATGGTTAATTTGCATTGAGATCGTTTGACATTTAGTCATTATAGATATTTAAAATTTTTTGCAAATTAAAATTATTAATATATATGTTGTATAAATCTTGTGAAGTTTTATTTTGTGATATATAAAAGTAAAAAATAGTCAGTTATATTTTATACACTATTCTCTTTTTTTAATATAATGCAAGAACGCTAGCTTTTCGACATATATGTATATCAGACAATATAATAATAATATAGTATGGTATTTATTATCACTAATTCAGCAATACTATTATCCATTGACATTTTAAAGACAGCGCCTGGTAATTTATTATAGCAATAACATTTTTAGTACTAGTAATGAATGGGTATGTAAATAAAATAAATCAAGTCGTGAATAACATTTATTAACATTTGTGAGTAACGTCTGATGCACAGACGTGTTGTATCCCCAGGCATTCGAGTAACAAATGTCGATTATTAACTTACATATCGATCACATAGCATAAATAAACTTAATACTTCTGTATACCCTATCATATAAATCTAAATAATATAATTTAACTTATTCTTATGACATTTATAGTCTTTGTATGTTATACTTTACACGACGAAAGCTAACACTTTATAATTTCATTAATTCCAGATTAATTCATATATTTTTGCAGTATTTTAATACTGAGATATAAGAACATCAAATATAATAAACATTTTAGATAGAACCAGGTAATTTGAGATGATTCTAAAACAAAGTGTTGCTCTCGTTAAAAACATTAGATATCATTTCAGATATGGACTTTGGATTACAATCAATGTTTTCATAATAATAATATATAAGCCCATCAATCAATCTTATGTGACAAAAAATTTATACTATACATACATATATATAACATTTGTTTTAAATAAGTTTTCATCAATGAGCTTATAAACCCTTCCCTCGAATGAAGATCGATTTTGCGATATGGCAATACATTTTTAATATCGCGTTTTTTGGTGCAAAATCGACATTAAATCTCGGGTGGGTGTGTTATGGCGGTGTAACTCCTTTTACAGGTCGTAGGAGCCGCTATCACCGGCTTTGTTGATGCGGAGCACGAACCTGTACACAAGCCCCGCGATCACTCCTCCCAGGATCGGACCCACCCAATACACCTGATTGATAATAAAAATACAATGAATTAAAACCTCCTTCATCCTTCTAATATTATAATTGCGAAAGGTTGTGAGTGTGTGTATGTTTGTTACTTCTTCACGCTCAAACGGCTTAACCGATTTTTATAAAATTTTGTATACAGGAAGCTGACGTCCAGGAATAACACATAAGCTACTTTACATCCCGGAAATTTCGGAAATCCGAGGGTAACACCGCAGGGCGCACCTAGTATTATATAAAACCTCTTTTGTTTTCATTAATTATTACAGCATAGTGTTTTCATTATAAACTGACAACATTGTGACGTATTAATGTCAATATTGTTTCAAACATATACTATTCATTATGTCGTATTTAGAATAACATATTGTGGCACGTTTTTCACATATTTGGAGCGGAATTAAATATTTACTGTCGATGTATGACAATTATAGCAACGGATGTTAAACATTTCGACCTTCCAAATTATTACGATCAAACAATACTAATGGAACAAATAACATATTGTTTTCCGTTCTTTAAATATTTTACAGAAATTGAAATGAATTAAAAATATGTCAAAAGAATGTTATGTAATATTTGAAAATAAAAAAAATACGAAATACAGGCGGGAAAATAATTAAATTTTAAGAAAGTGTTGCCATTATAAAATAATCCATTAAAGTACAGCCAATGTATTGTTGCCAGTTACCGTCCGTTCATTTCATACTATAACCGCTACCGGTACAATTAAATTACATAAGACCATGTTCCGTCACGAGGCGAGAAGATTCATGATCGAATGTAACAACACGTGATGCAGTGAAAGTTACGTTCAGTGTTTATGGGTTAACGATTAAATGGCTTGCAAGGAAATTTGTATAGAGATTTAATTTAATTAACAACAACATATTGTATTCAATATGTACAATAAGTGAATTAGTAATTTCTCACCCAGTGTGCGTTCCAATTGCCCATAACGAGAGCCGGTCCGAAAGATCTTGCTGGGTTCATGCTTGAACCAGAGAACGGAATCTGAGGAAAAAATTATGAATATTTATAATTTATAAAAGACTTCAATTAAATTAAAATCAGATAAAGTAAATACAAAAACTATCTTCCGTTAAAATTAATTAACCAATTAACCAAATGATTTCTAGATATTTGACCTTAATCTCTTATTTCCACTTCGATAGAGAAAGTTCATAATCTTCTAAACATTAGTTTGTATAAATAAATGGTACATACGCAAGCAGCGTGGCAGGCGGTGATGCTGAGACCGATGGCCAGGGGTGCTGAACCTTTGACGTCATTACGACCCGCGTCACACACTCCTTGAACAACCGACACTAGCACAAACGTTATCAGAGCCTCAACCAACAACGCCTGGTGAAAAAAAACATAAATAAATATCGTTAAAAATGTTTATAAACACTGAATAAAATTATATTAATCGTATTATATTAAACCTGAGCGTCGGTGACCCCTGGACCTGGTTGTGTTACACCGAATGAAAACACTCTGCTCTCAGGTACAGCCAACTGTAACAAATGACAAATAGCTTTAGAAATCATACGTCATATAAATTACACAAATAAAATAATATTTCATAGCTTCTTCTTCTTCTACCTGACAATTTCCCAGCTATAGCCAGGGTCTGCTTTACATGTTGTGAATAGTTTTGGCTAATTGTTTTTACGACCGGCCGCCTGCCTGACATCAACACTCTTTGGGAATGCATTAATCAGTGATGTCTAAATACTCTTTGAAAATACATATAACTCAGAAAATCACATTGGTACTTGCCAGAATCGAACCCGGCAAGAAAGGCGGGCCTTTTAACCACTAAGCCACCACTGACTAAAATAATATTTCATAGCTAACAATATAAAATTAATTTAATATTACCTAAACAACACTCAGGGCATCCAATTACGTGAATAATCTTGTTCATACATTATTTAATACCAATTATAAAACTATAAAATCAAATGGATCGTGTTCTACAAACTGATGGTCTTTACGCGCTCTTTACGAACCAAATGTCATATAAAACATATCACTGAGAGGTCAAACGAAGTTAAATATTAAATTACTTTAGCTATAATTAATGGATGCAAGTATTTTAATGGCTCCGAATTAATCTTACGAACAATATTATCATTAAATAAAATTACATATAATTATATATGTAACACGTGGTTTTATTGGATATTATGTAAGAAATATTCTATATATTTAAAATTACAATAATAAAATTTGCTCTTTATACTTACTCAATAGTTCAAAATTTTAGAGTAATTCACGGAATATATTTAATATTTTATTAAATTTCTTTGAACACGTCGTCAAATTCATTCGCTCACGAACTCCGAAGGTCTAACATTTGTCTTTATTATGAGTATCAGTGTCATGGCGAGCAACGGTTTTTTACACATACAGTGATTATCTATGTAAGGAGATTAGAATGTTTAGCGTCCAACCACATGTACATATATATATACGTTCACATATAAATAACGTTTTTAAACTAACTTTCTAGGTTTATTATTACATACGTGTTTCGTTACAATAAAATGAGTAAAAAAGTTTCTTAAATATAATAGGTTATGAATTCGGCATTAGATAAAACCAAGGAAATATCTATAACTTTAGGAGTTTACAAAATTATTTTAATTTAACCTCATTATTTATTTAAAAAAAATCCAATCCATGTGTACGTATAATTACAAAAATAATCTCTCTTTCAGTACATACAATAAGTGTCACAAATAATTTTAGTCGATAGTTGTCAATTTGACGTTTACATCATTACGGCATTTAAGTCTAGAAATTCTGACATAAAAAAAATCATTATTCTACAATTCGTTATGCGAAAATATTCCGATATACCAGTGCGAATTAAGCCATAGCATAAAAAACTTCAGTGTGAATGAAGATTACATTCAATAAAAAACAGACTGTTCATTCATTTACGTAGGTATATATCAATCAATCGTATTATTTATACGAACCCTAATGAAAGCAGCTCCAGCGGTAGCTCCGAGACATTGGACCACAATGTAGAAGATGGCTTTCAACAGCTTCACGTCACCAGATGCCAGCAGGCCGAGGGTTACGGCCGGGTTTATATGACCTCCAGACACGTGGCCGATACACTGAAATAAAAACACTCATTAATATAGAAAAACAAACAACTTATCAATAAAAATAACATTATAGAGGTATGCTTAGATCTACTTAGGTCTTACAAAAAAATAATTATGATATCTTTATTTCAAACTTAAGAAACAATCGTATTAACAAATCCAATTTTTTCTCCTCTACATAGGAAAACTTTTAATCTATAACAAAGCGAATGAAGTCGCATGTATCAACTAGTATGAATATTTCTACTATACTTCTACAATTTTATTCTAACTGACCACGCTGACGAGTAAACTCATTATGTGAGATTACATAAAACTATCATTCTACGTTATATTCAATTTCTTACTTAGGATTTTATTTATAACAAATTGAAAGACTTTTCCATTAGTGGGATGGTAGTAATAAGTACAAGAGTGTGTAAAAATATTTGGACTTATTTTTTTTACTTAAAAAAAACGACTTAAAAGAACTTAGAAAGCAACTTGATTTCAAAATAACACACTGACATTTTTAAACCACGATTGTATTTGTATATATAACATAATAAATACATTTTAATTATTCAAATTCAATAAAATCGTCTGATATTTAAATTGCAATCGTAAATCTTAATTCACATTTGATTTGACTCTGAAACTGTAAGATACTTAGTCCAGTTAAAAGTCGCTTGGAAATGCGTTTGTCTGTTTTGATATTTTAATTAACAGTAAAATATTTATTGTAACTTAACATACTATACACATTATAATTTCAACGAAGAATATTTCTTCTCAATTACATGAGAAGTATATACATTTTCATTTAGAATCAATAAATAATCACAAAATTCACAACAATGTAATCGTTTCCTTCGTGAATACAGCGCGAGCTATACGACCTTTGTCATTACAAACAATATCATAGGTCAGAGCAAATTAGTAAATTATGGTAAGTCAATTAAATACCAAATATACTTCACTATAAATTACATTTGAGATATAACATCGAAAGGCTATCGAGTACGTGTTATAATTATTTATATTAATTAATTTAATAGAAAATAGACTTATAAATAATGTTAATTACTATTTTATTGAAAGCAAAATGGCTTACGGAAATGGCACGTTCGTTAAAATTTATAAACGTCTCAATATGAACATTGAACTGTCAGATGCAATGCTAAATGACTTACAGCTTATAGCCCCCGGCTTTTTATCAATTTTAACTACATATATGAAATCCTTGCTAAATATGTTTTATATTAAGTTCACGGCCATAACTTCTTTTATATTAAATTAATGTAATACATTAATATAATTTGTATACTCTGTGATATAGAGTAATAAAACTGTATTTCAATTTAATGGAGTAAATAACGGATCAATGACACTTCAGAGGTGAATTGATTCAACCGTGACACTGCTATATTATTTTATAATATATGAATTACATAATTATGTTTCAAAGTAACACACGTTAGCCTTAAACATTTTTTCTTTATTTATTGATGTTGTAATGTATTATTATTAACACAATTATTTTAATTTAAAATTTTAAATAAATAAAATTGTCAAACGTATATCTATATATATATAAAAGAAAGTCGTGTTAGTGACTTCACTTATAACCCAAGAACGGCTGAACCGATTTAGCTGAAAATTGGCAGGGAGGTAGTTTAGAACCAGGAAATTGCAATAGGATACTTTTTATCCCGTTCGATAGCATTCCCGTGGGACTTGACATGAAACGTCAATCATTATAAAACGTGGAATAATACAATTCACAGCTATGCAATTGACGTATAATGACAGATATGTAATGACGTATGGATGACAATTAGATATTTGTAAGAAATCTACTATATAAAAATAAAAATATTTAGGTAATGTGTTTGTAGCTTGAACTCTTAAAACCATTTAGTATTTGCGGGATAAATTTAGAAAATCATTGTTTTTCACATGGGCAGTTATATTTTGCGTGTTCACGAGTTTGGAAACCATCCGCTTTATTTGTGTTAAAGTTAGACCAAAAAACAAAAAATGTGGTTTACAAAGGAGCACTTCAATGAAACGGATAATTAGCGGACACGTATAACGCTTCGATTCGGTATCTACTTTGGATTCACTTTCAAATAAAAATTTTCCTTTTCAAATATAAAACAAAACAATTCTTCATATTTTAATCACCAAACGAAATGTTATATAAAAGCTCTGGTGGCGAAACGAAGTTCGCCAGGTTTACTAGTTACAAAAAAAAAAGAAATGTCATTTTTGATTGTTCGTTTGACAGGTCTTAATATTATTTTATATCTGTAGATCTGAGTATTTGAAGATTATAATAATTAACCATATGAACTTACTAACTGAAAATAGTAATAAAATATAAAATAACCCAACCCAATACAAGTCAATGTTTATTATAATAATTACAGTGTAATTTATTATTATAATTATTAAACGTTACATATCCCATGCTGCACCATGCGTGAGCATACACGGGCACCGTTCGATCAAGGGCGTCTACAATCCCTAAAATGATAGCTGGGTATGGTCCAAGTGAATATTTAATATTGTTATAACGATTAAATATAATCTTTTTACTATATTATTTTTCAATATGGTAACAAATTGACTGTTTTTTATAATAGTTATGTAATAATCATCATTATACAGCCAACGAAGATTGTTTAGATTTTTTTATCTTAATCTGACACACATTCCAGATGTTAAACAAACCGCGTCCGTTTATAACTTACACCACACTATATTGGTATCATACGAGACGTCACACTAAGTGTTGTATCCGACCAACGACGGATGTATTTAGAAGTTTTTATTTTTTGTCCTATTATAATAATTAAAGCAAACAGGTTTTTAATTACCTATATGGAAAGAAAAAGTTAATAAAATTATTTTAAAGAAGTCTAATTTGAATGAAACGATTTTAGGTAGGTGATAAAATAACAAGACCGACTGACAGACGCTCACATCTCGTCTGCCCGTGATCACGGTTGCTGAAAAGTCGCCGAAACATTGGGAGTATGTAGTTTATAGTCAAAAATAAAAAATCACGTAATAAATCCGAAAATATTAGTTTCATTCAAATGAATACTCGCGAAAATGTTAGATCTCATTAGTCTCCATATGTTTAATAAGCGAAAATAATGTATACCTTTTGTGTAAACATAAAAATGTATAATATATTAGTATTTCATTCCTTTAATCAAATAGTATTTTACTAGTCATTAAAAAATATACATATACGTGCATGTTTACCTTTAAGGTAAACATTTTACCATATAATTGGATAGTAAATCTGACATAAAACGCAATCCCTATTGATAATTCAGATTGTATCTGTTATATTTGGGTCACGTACGAGTATGTTGACAACACATTACTTGTTAAAAGCAAAGCTCGGCTAATACTAACAATGCAATAAGAACAATTATCATATTGACTCAGATAAATGTGCACAGATTAATGCGGGCTCCGGTAAGGACGCGACATATTACTTTTGACAAGCATAACTGTGACGACTTTTTGACAATCGCAATTTTAATCTATGAAGATTAAAAATGTTTTAAAATTTTCTTTTGTTTTATATATACTATCGATAATAAAATTATTTCATTTGTTTACTACATTTAAAATACTGAATGACATGGTAATCTTATGTATATTTAATCTTTATAAAGTGAAATGTTTGTCTTTCATTTGACTTTGACATAATTTATAATTTCTATAATTATATGTATTAATTACACATATAGAATTATTTTACAATTCACACATTTGAGTATGTAAAATTTTTATTAAATATAAAATTTTCATTTAATAGAAAATAATTGTGTTTTCTAAGTACATTGACCCCGATGAAATTTACATACGGTAATTTGTTTTTGAGGTCAGAAAGCGATTTATTGTTGCTCTCAGCGTTGCATATAAAGGAAGTATGAACGGTGACCTGTTTGATTAAGATCCGTTACAGCCGATCCGAATTACATTACTTGTATTACCCGTATCATGAAATGCTTTCTCACATTTAAATATAGCAAGAAGGTTATATGTAGTATACAACCTTCTTAGAACATGTTTTTTTTTATATAGTATGTTAATTTCGTTGTATTGTCTGTGTTGTCGCAACAAGACAACGGCGTGACATCGCTAATTCACAAGCCGGTTCATATTAATTGTATTTATTATATGTAATTAGTTCAACAGCCACGTATTGACGTTTATATGCATTGGTTGTATTTCTTTATGCCTTTGATATTTTTATTAAAAAAAAATCATCTACTGTCAGTGTCAATCATTTATAGAATGAAGCGTCTGTGAAAGATTTTGCAGGCGTGAAATTACTTTTTTAATCTTTCCCTGAAATAGAGAATCGTTTTGTATCCGTTGTAAGTTAACTCATGATTTCTTAATGATTTTTTTCTGATATTTGAATATACGTATGGAAGATAACTGCAAAAATGGGGTGAAATAGTAAAAGTTCATACAAAGATACGGTATTAACAGAATCATGTTTTCCTTACGTAAAAATCGTTAACAGGAAGTATGGTACAAATGTCTTTTATTAGTTTATATGTTTTAATTAATATTATGTAAGTCGTGAATCATTTAAAACGGGTCATAAAGTATAGTACAGCCATAAAGTGCATGACCCCTGACACCTGACGTACTAAATACCAAGTGCTCAAACCTCTATGGAATTTTATATTATTGTTAACATACTCGTCCGTCTGTTAATGCTTAAGGTTAAATTTGTTTTATGTAATAAATCTATCTTATATATAAAATTCTCGTGTCGCGGTGTTAGACAGAGAACTCCTCCGAAACATCTGGACCGATTTTGATGATATTTTGTGAGCATATTGAGTGTGTCTGAGAATTGGCCAATTTATTTTTCATACCACTAAGTCATAAGGATTGTTCACCCTTCAATTTTTTTGTTTTTTTTTATTATGTAGCATGAAAAAATACATACAACCCAAAATTTTTACTTTTTTATCACCAACCCCTAT